CTTGTTAGGGGGTATTGGCAGGTCCCTTTGACAGAGCGCGCGAGTCGATACGCTGCTTTTATCTCACCCCTGGGCACTTTTCGTCCTTTGATGATGAGCTTTGGGCTCAAGAACGCACCGTATTGTTTCAGCCGCCTGATGGATAAGGTTCTCCACGGGCTCGAGAAATTTGCGCTGCCTTACCTAGACGATGTGGCGATATTTTCGGACAAATGGGAAGACCATGTTGAACACCTTCGGATGGTTTGGAACGGATCAAAAATGCAGGTCTTACGGTAAAGAGAGAGAAATGTCATTTGGGCTGTGCTGAAGTAAGCTATTTAGGGCACATTGTAGGAAATGGGCGTCGTCGACCGTCCGAACTCAAGGTAGCCGCGGTGGTCGGTTATCGTCGTCCCAGCACTAAGACCGAGATGAGAGCATTCCTCGGCCTCACAGGTTACTATCAGCATTACGTCCCGAATTACTCCGAGATTGCCAGCCCTTTGACAGATAGTTTACGCAAGACCGAACCTGTGAACATTCAATGGGACTCTAAAAAGGAAGACGCTTTTCAGAAGCTGAAGCACGCATTGAGTGAGAAACCCGTCTTGAGGGCACCGGATTTTGCAAAACCTTTCACTGTTCAGTGTGATGCAAGCGAACGCGGTTTAGGAGCAGTGCTATGTCAGACGGACCAGAGTGGAGAGGAGCGGCCGGTTTTGTATTTGAGTCGCAAATTAAGCAGCAGGGAAGAGGCTTATAGCACTTCGGAAAAAGAATGTGCTTGCATTGTTTGGGCCGTACAAAAACTAGGCTGCTATGTTGCTGGCTCTAAGTTTATTATAGAAACTGATCACTCTCCACTAACCTGGTTACACCAAATGTCACCTAAGAATGGTCGTTTGCTCAGATGGAGCATAGCACTGCAGCAGCACAATTTCGAGGTGCGCTACAAGAGAGGTGGCCTTCATACAAATGCAGACGCCCTAAGTCGAGCGTTTTGACTCGTCAAAAGACGCGGAAGGTTTGTTTGATTTTTTTTGTTTACCTTTACCTAGTTTATGTGTACTTTTTTTTTCAATGTGTTACAGTGAGGGCATAGAGAAATTTTTTACTGACTCCCTCGTTGTCCCGAGCTCTACAGTTTGCTTGTTTAGCTTGATTATAATGTTATCTCGATTCCAAATGGAATTACGTATGAAAGAGTTACTGGACACTTGTCCCGATTGGTATGCACATTGTTTCCTTGAGCTTAAGTTATTAAGATAAGATGTTTGCTTTGTAAAATCTGAGGCCTGGCGATGAGAGTGGCGTGCACGCGGTGCTTGTCGCATTGTGTGTGGCTGACAAAGGTCGTTTCTTGGAGCTTGTCACCCACTTTTCACCGAAGCGGGGCGCAGAGGCCAGCTCTTGGAGCATTCCAGTTTGACCAGGCCCTTCGAGAAAGCAAGAGCCTTGCCGGAACGTCGCCGACATCGACCCGGCCGAGCTGCATGGAACAACTCGACCTCCCGATGTATCATCTGGCGGCGGGGGTGCTGTTGTGCCTCGCCCAAGTTCCACGTGGTCTTCGCGGCCTGCTGGCACCTGGCAGCTGTTGATGAGTCAACCCTGCACCGGGACGGCGACGGACGCGGACAATCGGGAAAAACCACGTCGCCGGCTCCTCTTGACACAAAAGTCGTTGGCCAAGCTTTTGTCAGCCGCCGAGAGCAACACTCCGAAGCAGCGTCGACCCAGCAGCTGTACGGGGTATTCTGCCTTGCTTGAGTCAACCTGGCTGCATCAGGGAGCGACTTTGCGCATGGGATTCCACGTCATCTCACTGTGGTGCCACGCTGGCGCGTGGGGTCTCCCTTACCAAACAGCGAACTGGGCATGCCTTGCCCCCTTTCCTAGGTTCAGAGGGAGGCGGTGTTTGGCTTTCCCTCTTCGGGGCCGGAGAGGAAGACGACGATCTCATTGGAGTATCCTGCGCATAAATTATCTTTGCAAGGGATCTTGGGAAGGCGGACGATGTATAAAAACGCTAGCGCAGAGGCGCTCGTGGGTGATTCTCTTTTCATGTTGTACCACGCTACCATGTAAATACTGTATATAAACATTTTTTTCTCCTTCTCCGGCTTCTCTACTCGTCCTCTCCGGGGACTCGGATGGCCCGAGTCCGCACCACGCTACCCAAAGGCGCAACAGCACACAGTTGCGCGGTGGCTGAAGGACGGTATAGAGGCGACATATTGTTAAGTTGCGAGGGGCGTTACCCGGACGTACTGCTTGGTTGCGCTAACTATAATGATGATTGTGTCTCTCATAATCATGTCGTGGTTTTGGGACGTTAAACCCCACAAATTCAAATAAGCATGATGATGATGATGATGATGGTGAAAATCGTCTGCGAGCGCTGCGCCACCCACCGCTCAATGGTTGTTATCGCCAAATTCGGCTTTTCCGCGGGACTCGTGTGCGCCTCGAGTTGCGAACGACTTTACAAGGCGTGGTGGCACCCCCCCCCCCCCCCCCCATGCCCCACTTTTCTATAGAACATTTGTGGAAAGGGCAACGCAGCAGTAGAAGTTGAAAACGATTGATTGATTGGTTACAGTATATTGAAGCAGCGGAAAGACTCTAATGGGTGCCGCTGGGAAGTGCTCTAGGCTGAAAGCTGTTCGCCACTGTTAAGAAAAGAACAGCGTTTTAGATTCATTTCACTTAGTGTCACCGTTTTATTATTCATTGAACAATCTAGCATACGGTAAAGCCACGAGAATTTTGTACGGCTATAGCCGAGTCTGTCGCAAGCAATCAATAAATCAACCAGTGCGGTCAGTCTTTCTTGTTTGGCGGAGCGTCGCATACGCTCAGCCCCGCGCAGGTGAAGCATCCCGAGACGGTGCGTGGAGCTGCATAGATTTCGAATTTTCGACGAGCGCGTCTTGCAGAGACACGGCGAGCTTGGTAGCAAAACTGCGGCGAAACCAAGTGGGCGCTCCTTCACGCTCCGCTCAATGGACTTACAAGCGAAGCGAGAGGTGCGTTCCGCTGCTCGCTCGAATTGTCTGCGTATATGCGTGTTACGGTTCCCTCCGCGTGTGTGTGCAAATCGCTAGCATGCGCATGTCTGACCGGGAAAAATCGTAAACGCTCCGTTAAAAGCAGCTAAGGGTGTATAATTTTTCGAATCGTCTGCTTCAATACTTTTTAATGTCTGAATTGCTACAAGGTGGTCTCAATTTTTTTTTGTCGTCGCCTATTCGCGATGTACTGTCTATATACTGAAATAAAAAAAAGAGAAGAATAATATTGATGAACCTCCACTGCGAAGGATGGTTTGTTAAAACTAATTGCAAAAACTCGTCCTCAAACTGCACAGTCTACGCGCATAGTCTGCGCGCAAAAATAAATATAAAAGCAGCTACATCACTGCGACGTAGGCGCGTATGGGCGATGGGAGTAAATGGGAACCCGACCATGTGGCATTTCCGTTCCGGCCAGCTGCCAGCTATAGTGCCCGTTAGCGCTGCACGTCAGACTTGTGATGCGAGGCTGATGATACCTCGCGTGTCGCACAAAGTGCGAGGTGTGTGTTGTGGTTTGTAGACCACATCCTCTGCTGTCAAATTCGACTGGACTTGAGCTAAACGAACCTATTGTGTGGTGTCATCCACTGGGACAATTTTCGCTTCTCCGGAAGAGACTTCCGTGTCGGCTGAAGCCCGACCAACAGGGTTGCACTGAATCAAGGGCTGCGGTGCTATCTCACCTGGATTGATAAGAGGTGAGTCCTCGGTGAGGACAGAACTTCATGCCCAGAAGGGTGTCGTTGTCGTTAAAGCTTTTTATAATCTGGCGACCAGGTGATTAAGGAAATGATGTCCTGAGCAAGTTCAAAGCCGACAGTGGAAATCGGGTGAGAGAAATTTATTGGTGGATATCACGCGCTGCTTTTCGTGAGTTGAGGTAGAAAAACAAACAAACAAGAAAACAGCGAACTTTTTTTTTAATCGAACAAGAAGACAGAAAAGAGATGGCAAGCATTTGTGCGTTAGGTGCTTTGTTCCGTGAAATAGATCCCGCTTTTTCGTACCTTACTAGAACGAACCATGCAGTTCGGCAGCACTTTTTGTTATACGTGAATATATATGCAAATGCAGATTTGCTATATACCTTGAATTCTCGATGGGCACTCGTGAGCAACCTGATAGAAGGCCGCATTCGTGTATAATCAGCGATCGATACGAATCGACGTACTAAATTGCAGGAAATACCCTTCTTTGTAGAGTACTTAATGTTATAGACACTTTGGCGTTTGCCAAGTAGGTTTATGGCCTTCAAAAAGGTAATATTTATTGGTTCTTCTCAAATTTCTCACGACTGTACGGCCTCTCGCATTTCGGAAACAATGCATTCCTCAACCTCTACCAGCCACTCCATGTACACCTTTTTTTGTGTGTGTGTTGCTTGCCTTGGAGCCAGGCGTAAAACATGTTTCATAACCGCGGTTTATTGAGTCTGTCGACCCTTACTTACACCGTTAAAAAACAAGCCGCTGTACACGCAGCTCATACGTTAACAAGCAAGCTAGCGCCGCGGTGTTTTGCTATGCACGAGCTGTTTTCGTACCCATGGTTTTGCGCAAACTTTCGAAGCTGATGTGTGTCGCATATTTAAAAAAAAATAAAAAACAGGGCTTATGGAGGGGGCTAACAGAAGGGGAAATGCCCGCGATGGCCTGATGCGTGTTAAGAAAAGAGAAATGAAAAAAAAGAGAGTGTTATTTTCCTTTGTTCTCGCCAAAGCTACACGTCACTTATTTTTCGGTCTTCGGCAATCTTGAACGCGGCGTGCACGCGCGGCATAGCAGCGCTACTTGAGCCGTCATCGACGGAGGACTCGCTGAGCAATCTCAAGAGATAAGACGTTCCGACGTGAAAGGAGAGAGAAGAGAGGGTTGCGGATGAAAAAACAGAGAGAGAGAGAGAGAACGCAGTCTAATAAGCTGGAGAAATAAAAGCTCAAACACAGAACAGGGCTAGCCGCGCCGGCCAAGGCCGGCCCGCGCGTGGAAACACCTCGCGACAAAATAACGCTCTGCAATCGGATTCCTTCACTCTGGTTGTTCGACGCCGCAAGCCCGGCTTTCCGACCCGCATTTCGACACCCGCTAAGCCGATGAGAGGCGTGGGAAGCTCGCGAGTGAGTGAGTGTTCGGGGAGAGACGGCCGCGCTTCGACTGCTCCGGAGACACAACAGTCGCAGTACGCCGCTCGAACCGTCGCAGGTGAACGCGACGGCAGCGGCTTCGTCGTCCGGGCTCACCGCGTCCAGCCATGGCGGCTGGCCACGCGGTCATGCTCAGGAGCGGGGTGGACTCGGCCCGCAGCTGGCTGGTGGCGGTCAGCTGCTGCTGGATCAACTTTTTCTCGGCCCTCATGTACAAGTCGAGTGGCGTCGTCTACATGGGCGTGCTGCAGACTCTCGGCGTGTCCAGGGAAGAGGCATCGTGGCCCCTCACCCTCCTCGCGGTCTTCATCTTCACCACCGGTATTCTCGCCTTCTGATGCTGCGTGTTGTGAAGTATTTGGTGTTGGATTTAGAGAATGTGCCCGCGTTTATAGACGCCAGGGATTTTGGTGTTACTGGATGGAACTGTTCTGATTAAGGGAGTTCGTACATGTATATTTCTTGTTCGCCTTTACTTCGCCTTTGCAGAGAAAATCACAAATGCATGTTTAATCGTTTCTTTATATTTTTTCGCGCACCTATATCGGCTTGGAAACTCTTCCTAGAGTTTAGCTTCGACCGTTTTTGTAATGCTGCTTTGTCCGTATGATTTTGTTATATTTTTGTTGTACAATCCCTGTATTATCGTTACCGGTTTGTAAAAACTCAACGTCTTTGCCTCGGTGTAGGTAACGGCCTAAAGAGTTTCTCTCAAACGAATCCCTGCATTCCAGAGAGTATATGAAAGTTAACAGGAATGACTGAGGACGTCGACAATGCATACTGCCTGATTTTTCTCTCTTTGCCGAAACAGGTGTCTTCTATACCGGTAGATTACTTTGTTCACGGCGCGCGCGATTTCCTTTCTGCAGCCCCAGTTGCCGGTGTTCTAGCCCTGTACATCGACATCTGGAAAATCTCGCTGTGCGGATGCCTCCTCTCTTCCATCTCGGTGTGCCTATGTTTCTGGGCCAACAGCGTGATCCATCTCATTGTCTGCCTGGGTGTCGTGCAAGGTACTATATACACGTTATCTCTCGCGCCGAGATTGCTCGTTTTCACGCGCGCATGAATTCCGAGATCAGTTAGACAGGCTGAATTTTCTTTCTTTTTTTTTTCCTTCGAAGGTTTCGCTCTCGGTCTGCTCACGCTTCATAACGTGATCATCAATCAGCACTTCGAGAAGCACCGCGCCACGGCCTCCGGGATCAGCTACGCGGGTCCCACGCTCGCCTCCATCGTTTATCCGCCGCTCGTCCAAGTGCTGTTCGAGTGGTACGGACTGCGCGGTTCGCTGCTGCTGTTCGGCGGCATCATGCTGCACGCCGTGGCCGGTGCTTTCTTGCAAATGGAACCGAACCCGCGGAAGGCAGGGGTTGCTTCGTCGCCCTACAAGGTCGTTCCGCGAGACCCAGTGCCCGAAGACACCGAATGTTCGAAGAACCAGCTCGGAAACAAAGACGTAGCGAAGGAAGAGGTACCTCTGGCATCCACTCCTCACGACTGTGGTGCGGATGTTCAACGGGCCGTTCGAGTGCAGCCCGGTGCACCGGACACGGCCGTACGGTTAGAGTCCGGCCTGAGGCTCTTCGCAGCCGTCCCGAACATCCGGCGCAACGCGTCCGTGCTCCTGGAACCCATGTTCTACCTGATCTGCGCCTCGTTCGCCGCGGTACTGTTCACCATGACCACGTACCTAACCGTCGTGGTGGACTTCGCCGTAGACAACGGCGTGTCGCGGATCAACTCCGTGCTACTCATCTCCGCTTACTCGGTGGCAGACCTGGTGGCCCGTCTGGGCTCCGGCTGGATCTCGGACCGCGGCTTCGTGAGTCGCGGCAACATGATGGCCCTGAACTTCTTGGTCGGCGGCCTGTCGCTGTTCGCCATGCCCGTGTTCACGACGTACGCCGGTCAGGTGACCATGGCCGTCGTGTACGGCTGGGCCACGGGCTGCACCATGATCTTGGTGTCGGTGCTTCTCACGGAGCACATCGGGCTGGACCGGCTGCCGGTCTCCTTCGGCGTCACGTCGTTCGTCGCAGGGGCGCTGTGCCTCTCCAGACCTCCGCTCATCGGTAAGGTTCGGCGTGACTGGCGCGGCCGCGTTCCTCTCCTTATTCAGTGGAGAATTGGTGAATGCTAGGACAATTGTCCTAACAGTTGAGACATACACGATTACCATCTATAACTACTGTTTCCCTGATGATAATTATTATCGCCACTGCATAATGAACAAATTCGTGACGTCACATGAGCGCGTTCCTTAACCTCACGCGTATGCGCCTAATTCTCGGCCGTATTCTGAAAGAACTCTACCCTATATATACATGGTCTGCTGAGCTGCACCTTTTTATTTAACAGAAAACGTGTTCTAGAAGGGCGTGTTGTCTCAGTCCTTATACCTTGACGTACTACAGCTATTCACGTTGGGGCTGTTATAGCTCTGCGTGCGTTTTATGCCTTATTTAGCTAAGATCCTCAGATGTAATATTCATCGTGCGGGTCCTAACATATTTTTCTCGTGTGCTGTTTTTGTTATTGTTGCGTCTGCACAAAGAAAAGGCGCGTGTTGAGCGCGCTTTCGGAAGAAAAACAATCGATCAGTCGGCGACATATATTGCTCAAGGCTGCTACAGAAAAATAATCGGTTTTTGCTCGCTCACTCGCAAAACTGAAAACAGCGTCTCGTCTCTCCTCCTGCCAAGAGCGACTTAGTTCGAGTTTTTTTAACTGACCGAGTCATTCTTCGCGAAGCTCTTGCCAAAATTCCTGCCAAAAGGCAGAGTGACGGTCTCCTAATTGCCCACTTAACCGTACAGTCGAGTGAACTGCTCTGAAACGTTGGAACGCTGTACAATGGTGGTAGTTCAGGAAAGCATGCCGTCTTGGAGAAATGAAAAATTCTTGACCGCACGTTATCGCTATAGAGCTAGCGTTTTCGGCAGGTGGTGTTGCCCTCTTGTAGGCAGCAGCAGCTTACTTCAGTGCGTTTATGTTTCGTAGTCTCCTTAGCCTCAAAAATAGAGGAACAGAGGGCAAGTGCGAGGACAGTCACTGTATTTTGGCGGGTACGCGCCAGTTCTCATTAATGCCTTAGTGTAAACCTTACTGTGTCCCCGACTGCGGACCTAAGGTTGAGCGAATACAGCTGCAATGGAAGGGAGAACACGCATTTATTATATTTTCTGCGAGAATATAGTTTCAAGGGAGTATCACATCCAACAAGGAATAATAATGTGAAACACAAGCTGGTCCATGATCATCGGGTTAATGAAATGTTCGACTGTACGGGACACTCATATTCTTTCTGATATATACCGTTTCGTACGCCTCCTTGGCGTACCTAAAGGGTGCTATTCACTACATCACTACATTAGCAACATTAGTTTTTTGTCTTGAGAATGCTTCTTAATCTTTCTAAGTGAGCAGTTGATCGTTAACGATTTTAATTGGCGCGAGTTTCGAGTCTGCAAAGCATTGCTGCGTTTCGGACGCTGTTGCAGCCAGTCTTCAGATCACACAACAGTCATCTTCACGCTCCCAGCTTGGTCGGAGGGTGCTGTATACAGTTTGAAACCCAAGTGGTCTGTAGGGAAACAATCCTGACTTAAAGCGCAAGTGAGGCGCCGATCAAACTTTAAGCGGCTCCGCATTGAGCATGACGCTCAGTGGAGACTACAATGTCACGAAGGAAGGAAGGAAAGAAAAAGCTGGGAGTGAGCTTCACATGACGGTCTTAAAGCTTAGTTATAGCAAACTTCGCTGAGGAATAGGCCGTGGTCACGTGATACACGAGTGCTACTATTGGTCGGCTTGCTTTTGTTGCGTCTGGACCGAGGAGGCACCGCGTACCGGCCGGGAGGTGTTGACGTCAGAGGAGGTTTCCCAGGCTAGCGGAATCACGTGATCCTGCGACCTAGTTTTCTCTCTCCTTCCTTCGTACGCAGTGTATACACGAGGTTCGACATGACGCGCTATTGCCGTTGCAGGTCACTACCGAGACGAGTACGGCAACTACGAAGGCCTCTTCCACGTCGTCGGAAGCTTCTCGCTCGCCCTCGCGCTTCTATGGTTCGTCGCCAGCACAGCGATCCGCTTCCGGCAACGGCGGAAGTGACGTCATTGAAACCGCTTTACGGATTCGATAACGCTTCGAAGCGCCACGACTCTGCACGACCTTGGTGTCCCGAGGAGACACGTGTTTACCGAAACCCTGAAAGCGCAACACAACGTGCGTACAGGATATTGAACCTCGCGTGTGCTGTGTGCTTCGTCGGGGCTGTGCAAAGCTCAGTGCGGTGTCCGATACCATGTTGCTTGCGGTGTGTCATTTCTGTTGCACGCGTATACGTGATACACGGCTGTGATTTAAGGTGGAAGAAGAAGAGACGGGTTTTTTTTTTTTTTACATATTTCTACGATGCGTGCGCGTATATATTTGAATAGATGTGAGCGTTTCTGCTATTGAAGCGGCAGCGCGCTTGAGTGTATATCGGGAAATCGGTGACTTCTCGGTTGCAGGCCGGACTTGGGGCATTTGTACTGCACAGAGATCGCCTATTCTTGCTTGTTCGTGATTCCTTTTTGTTTGCTCCATCGTTACGGCAGCGAGTCTCGCAGGTGTAAAAAAGCTGGCGTTGTATTCAAAGTGCACGAAATGCTTGAAAGGCATTTTTTCCCCTGAGAGGGACGTTAAAGTGATGCAATGAATTTAGTTATATTAATAAACTGTACTCTGAAAAAATCTAATGTCGTTATTTTTACCATCACAGATTTATTAATACAGAAAATATGAAGGCCTCAAGATGGAAACTTTCACGTTAGTGTTGCCATGCAGAAGTTTGCCCGGCTTTGCTGCTCGGCAGCCGACACTATAGTTGCAGCAGAGCGAAAGTATTGAGAGCCACAACAGCAACAAAGATAATTGAAAAATTTCATGCTATGGCCTCAGTGATGGCCGGGGTTCTCTATTCGATTGGGCCCCGCTATATGACACGACCTGTGCAGTTTAACCAGGCGAAAATTGAACTTTGGAACCGATCGTGCCATTCCTCATAGTAGGTCCAGCGGTAATTGTTTAATGAAACGAACAAGCAGCATTTTATTACCTCTCTTGATGCACGGACGATGATTTATATAGTACAGCTAAATACTTCAATTACTAGTGTTTAATGCCTAAACACTTCAATTACAAGTGTTTAATTTAAAGGCGATGACTACGACGTCATCAGAATTATTTTGCGAATGTCCTACTCGTGGCGTGTGTGTTCTCGTGCATTCACCTGAATTTTTCGGTAAGTGGAGCGCTGCTGTTGATATTATTGTCGTTTTAGACGTTGCCGTATGTATGCATTGAGCTTTCTCTCTGACATAAATTGTTGTTCGTTTTTAGTGTTCCTTTGAGCCTGCTCTACTAAGTGAGTGGTACGCAGTATCACGTCACAGTACAGTCAGCACAGTGTGTTCCACAGTTTTCAAAACTACCGAGTTAGGGGACAAGAACGATTTTAAAGTGAAGCCAAGAAAGACAGGGGAAGAAAGAACGGAGTAAAGGTTGCCTCATTTTTCGGAGCATTGCAGCGTTCCGCTTTTCAAGACAGAAAGGTATCCACTATACGCTCTGCAGGTGCTACAGTGATAGGTATACCCCCGCCGCGGTGGTCTAGTGGCTAAAATACTCGGCTACTGACCCGCAGGTCGCGGGATCGAATCCCCGCTGCGGCGGCTGCATTTTCGATGTAGGCGAAAAGGCTGTAGGCTTGTGTGCTCGGATTTAGGCGGAAGGTAAAGAACCCTGGGTGGTCGAAATTTCCGGAGTACACCACTACGGCGTCTCTCATAATCATATGGTGGTTTTTGGGAGGTTAAACCCCACATATCAATCTATCAGTCAGTGATAGGCATAAACACAAACACACACACACACACACACACACACCACACACACACACACACACACACACACACACACACACACACACACACACACACACACACACACACACACACACACACACACACACACAACATACACACGCTGTGGATTCCTCATGGCTGTGGCTGCGCTGCGAATAAACATGTTTGTTTCGCGTCGCTTGTTTTAACGCCCGCTGGCTGTGCATTAAATGTATTGCGGACTTCATGGCTCGCTTGGTCCTGATGCCATTGATTCTTACTCAAGAGTGCAGAGTTGTGAAATTCTCTCTAGAAAGCTAAAAAGAAATTTCACATCAGTGCATATTTGTACTATTAAGCAGAGAGCATTTCTAGCGAAAGCTTGGCATAACTAGCAAAAAGTTGGTACCAAGCTAGGTCGAACACTACAGCTCCGCTGTTGATTCCAGCCTCGCGACGCTAGTTGAAACTGCACTTTTTTTAAAGGACTTGTAATCCTAAAACAGGAAGTAAGCGTTTGACCGGAAGTGCTTGGAAGAGAAACGAGGGTGTCACTCGATGTTCGTGTCGCCAATATTTGCGAGCAGATAAAATACCAAAGTTTTCTTTTGGATTTCTTGGCGCTGGCCTGTTTTGATTACGTCACCGTGACGTCAAGTATGCCGCTTGTTTTTTTTTTTTTTCTTGCGTTAAGGAGTTACTGGGGCGCACCCAGCACTTCCGCGAAATTTGTTACACTGAAGACGGTAGCAAATAGAAAAGTACCCTATTAAATGGAAGCTTGATTGATTTGTGGGGTTTAACGTCCCAAAACCACCATATGTATATGAGAGACGCCGTAGTGGAGTGCTCCGGAAACTTCTACCACCTGATTCGATGGAAGCCGGCATTCAGGTTCAAAGGCAGGACATTCTGTTGGGCTAGAGCATGTCTTTGCCTGCCTCGTATTTATGAGTTCGTTTTCTTTGCGCTAATTAGGCTACGTTGTAAGGCTCATGATAGTCGTCAAGTACTACGTAGTAATGAGTCAACGACAGCTCAGAAATTTCTTCATTTGCAGTATTTGCATCAACGCTCGATTCGACGAACGCATTGACACTGAGCCGTAAGAGCATGTTAGAACCTGTGACCTTACTGGTGATATATAAGGGTTTTAATGGCGCAAGGGCCATGCTTGACCAAAGAGTGCCATGAACGATGATGATAGACTAACGATGATGCATGATTTGAGGTGATATGTACAGGATATGAACTATATGTATTGTAGTGTTACGCGGCTGTAAAGGGGCCTAAAATTCCGTGCCCTCGGACGCGTTAAAACGTACAAGTAATGGAATTATGTGTATAGCGAAATGTGTATAGCGATTAGCACTAATGACTCGTCAATGCAGCCCCGCAGTGGTGGTCTAGTGGCTAAGGCACTCGGCTGCTGACCCGCAGGTCGTGGGTTCAAATCCCGGCTGCGGCGGCTGCATTTCCGATGGAGGCGGAAATGTTGCAGGCCCGTGTGCTCAGATTTGGGTGCGCGTTAAAGAACCCCAGGTGGGCGAAATTTCCGGAGCCCTCCACTACGGCGTCTCTCATAATCATATGGTGGTTTTGGGACGTTAAACCCCACATATCAATCAATCAATCAATCGTCAATGCATGCCCTTGAGCCCAAGGGCCGCGAGGCAGGTGCTGTTCTTAATGTGACCATCGCAGCCTCGACCTCTGTACAGAGATCGTGCTATACGGATCACCCTATAATATAGAGTGAATACTATAGGTACATGTTTTTAAAACGTGAATGGTTATTCAAGTTTAAAAAGCGCACCCCTACTGATTAACACGACAGGATGTAGTTAAAGCTGGTGTCGGTAGGGTAATAGGTGGCTTTATTTTTTTATTTTTTTTTTACTACGTTACTGGTATTCGGCGGTGTCACCAAAGTTACTTCACAGACTTCAGTGCGGCGTCGCCGTCTGCCATTTAGAGTGTTTTTGTACTTACAATAATGCCTATGTTCCCTGCACGAATGACCTCTGTAAGTTTCCCACGGAGACTACAGGACGTCATAGGGCATACGTACCAGAATACACAATACATATAAAAATGATAAAGATACTTAGGAAGTACTTCTCTTCAGCCTCTTTATAACCGTGAGCCTGCGCCAACACACAGCCTGCAATGCGAGTGTACAGGTTTTAACTGTGAAAATGTAGGGTTATGGTGCTGTCGTAAACATTAGTACGCTGTATGCTGTTGGAATCGCTTTCTGCAGCCTTATACCGTGTATACATGCGCTGAAGAACTGTACGAACACCAACTATTTCTTCTAATCGGGATACCACACATTATAGTTCCCTTATAATAGCCTGTCGAGTCCGCTGTTGGGCAGTATGTATGTCGAGTTATTCTCGCAAGTATTTTGGACTGTTGTGCTTTTGGCCCATAAACCGTTTCCGCGTATATGTGGCCCAGCAGACCGGCATATCAAACCTGAGAAAACTGTAATTGTTAGGTGGTAAAATGGCGCTGTGCTCATGAAACCGGTATAGTATGTTTTCAAGGAATTTATGAATCCTCTTAGCGTTTTTTAGGAGCGAAGCTCCTTAAGGCGTGGGCTGTGCGTCCCCTGTATGTAGCCACCTCTCGTTCAGTTCTAAGTATTACGCTAGCCACCGCCCGATCTAAAGGGTACAGCCATATCCATCCGTCCATCCGTCCGTCCGTCCATCTATCCATCCATCCATCCATCCGTCCGTCCGTCCGTCCGTCCAAAAGATGCAAGATGTTATAAACTAGACGGCGGTACGTGTAGTTGATTATGAAATATGCGAGGTGTTATAAAATAGGAATGATGCCACATATGGCGCGTGTCATCGTTCGATATAGTGCGGCGACGTACGCTAGGGGGAGCGTTGCAATAAAATCGAGTGGGCAAAATGTACGGAGGATTCATGGTTTACCAGGTTTACCTCCGGAGCTTCGCCCACTCATCATCATTCACTTCGTGGATATGGCGGCATTTTTTTTCATCTATTTCTCACTCTGAATCTGAGGTTTACAAGTGGTCGCGACGATTTTTTAAACTGAATTTTCTCTGCCCTGTATAAGTATGTACACGAAGTATGCTTGAACATGGGTTGTCAGTGGTCACTGCAGAACGTTTGATAAAGTGGCCTCGCCCTTTTCAAGGAAGCAACACTCGGCGACTGAACCACTTATCGAAACGTAGGCTCCAGTAATACACCAGAGTGTTTTCACATCTTCAAGCTTCCATCTTTTTTTTTTTCCTGAAGTCCTGCATTTTTGTTTTGTCTATGTGCATACATCTTATATCTTCTCTGTTGTCTAAGCCCGCGTGCTGTTTTCTCGACTGTGTATGTGCGATATACTGACTTCTATGTGCTGCTGTAAATACGTCTTTTTCGAATACCTTGCCGCTGTTATCCGAGTTCTACCTGGTAATTGCTGAATATGTAAAAGAAAGCAGGGGTTAGGGGTTCACTACACGTATTTGAGGCGTGTGTTGGTGTTTGACAGATATGGCGGGAGTCTGGTAAAAGAAAGACACTGATTATGATAATTCATCAAAACTCAATCCGGCTATAGAGGGTGCCCGCGACCAGTATTTCGATGAGGAAGGGAACGATCTTTAAAAAAGAAAAAAAGAAAGCAAGAAAGAAAGTAAGCAAAAAAAAAACAGAAAGAAAAAAGAAAGAAAGAAAGAAAGAGAGAAAGAAAGAAAGAAAGAAAGAAAGAAAGAAAGAAAGAAAGAAAGAAAGAAAGAAAGAAAGAAAGAAACGTTGCTGAAAGTGATGGATTACAACTTGCTTAGAACCACGCAACGTCCTCTTTAGATTACTGTGGTGTTAGCCAGCTCACCATAATTCACTACCAGTTTAGACCGGTAACATATCATTTCGCTGATCAATCTGCATTACTTTCGCCGGGTTAGGCCCCAACTTTCCAACTTTTTTTTATTTTTGTGCCGGTACCTCGACGGTGCTACGCGAGTTTGACGTTACGGTTTTGAAGCTGTATATGCTCTTACGTGGGACATTTTGGGCCCTAGGAAAGTGCTCACGTTTGGTATGGTGCAGTGGGTCGCTCTTAGTTTGCTGTCCTACACGCGGGAAAGGGGTTAAGAAAGTAAACACTTCCGAAATTACCGTCATTGGTATCAAATCGATTTAGTGAACTTTGGTTATTAAGGCTTAGTAAATGTTCTTAAGCCTCGCTAAAGTAAGGCTCTCTGTCCAGAAAAAAAGATGGCCCATTGGCTGTCAGTACCTGCGACGTATGGATCGGCAGATATCGGTGACTCCTCGCCATCCACCAGTGAAAAGTTGAAAAGTGGGGAAATGGAAACATCTTCAGTGAATCGAAGAACACACGAAGCTGCCCGTTCAAGCCAGCAATCGGTCGCCGAGGCCAGTCGGTCGGTTTTATAAATGGTCCGCTTTGTTTTGATAGTCTACGGCGCACAGAGTCATAGTACGTGAAGTTTTGTCTGACCTGTACACGATTTTACGAGACACAGTGCAAAGAATGCTGCACTCGAAAGAAATAGACGTTGACAATGCAGCCTATCACAGCTTTCTTCGTTTGTTTTATATTTTTCGTCTCATAAATGGGCGCTGTTGTAGCGTTGCCGACATAGACACGTTCCTTATATAGTTTCCGCACTGCATCTATTTTACCACAAAATTAGAAACACTCAGAAGTAAACGAGATAGGCTGTAGTCAACGTGTCACAGCCGTTAGTCGTCACAACGACTAAATCCATGCAACAGCTAGCAAGGCTCGTCAAGTGAGCCTTGCAGAAGCTCGTAAACTTTCAGCTGCAAGAAGGGCTTCGTTTATAAATGTGGTCTATTTTGGTATGTGCTTTTCTTTTTTTCTTGTCTTCGTGTTGGTTCGTCGTTGCGAGTTGTCATCAAATGGCTCTCAATTTGAAAGCGGTGTGGCTTGGCTGATATCAAATATCCATCCACCCTCGCCAGTTCTTTCTTTCTTTCTTTCTTTCCTTCTTTCTTTCTTTCTTTCTTTCCTTCTTTCTTTCCTTCTTTCCTTCTTTCTTTCCTTCTTTCTTTCTTTCTTTCTTTCTTTCTTTCTTTCTTTCTTTCTTTCTTTCTTTCTTTCTTTCTTTCTTTCTTTCTTTCTTTCTTTCTTTCTTTCTTTCTTCCCTTCTTTCTTTCTTTCTTTCTTTCTTTCTTTTCTTCTTTCTTTCTTTCTTTCTTTTCTTCTTTCTTTCTTTCTTTCTTTCTTTCTTTCTTTAGTTCCCCGCAAGCGGTTGCGTGCTGCGAAGCCTCTAAATGCCGATGTCGTCAGCTCGTGCAGACTTATGCAAAACAGCTCCGTCGGCAAAGAGACGGACGCGCTCATGCGCAGACTGCCAGCGAAAGTAACAAGGTAAAAAAAAACAGCCGCTAGGATACTGCTGTCCCGCTCACCGATGAGGCCCCTGCGCTCAGAATATACACACTAGGCGATGTGTCTGCCACCCATCGTTGTCGCCGTGAACGCCGAACACACGTGCACAGCTGCGCACAGCTGCGCTGAACATGGCCGCGGATCCTGGCGTGCTTTGCTGCAAATAATCGTGTGCTTACTGGTGTGCCCTGTGAGGGAAAACTGTCTCTTGCTCGGATTCGCCTGCATTCATCGCGTGACGGTAAGCTGCATACCACCACTCATTTGCGTGAACTGCTTACGCCGCGATTTTGTGTTACACATTCAAACCGAGGCGCCAAGAAAAGTCGAATATACTGCACCGCCTACTACTCAAGACTTTGCCGGTGATTTCGACATGAAAATAAAGTACCGAGAAAGTCAAAGTATCATCCATGTTGTGGGTACATGAGTCGATTTATCCAATAGGCGACCGAACGAAACAAAAACTTAAACCAAGTTCATGTGATACTGGCAAGTGTCACAAGTACAACAAGATAACGGCAGCGGGTGTCGCATCTTTAGGTTTGCCGCTGCACGTTGCAGCAGCTGTTTGGCCGCTCGCTGGCTCAGTAGTAGTCGTGTCCGCCCTTGAACTCACTGGCCTGGCGCAAGCTCAATTTTAGCGCCTGTTTCTGACTGCCAATCTTTGTGCACGCTTCAGTTTCACCGCTCGCTTAGCCAACTGCATGAGCGTATGACCGCGATGGGGCACGGCTGGAGTTCGGAACGTGAACGTAGCTGTCGCGCCTCTTTCTAATTAGGCCGGCTGCACCTCATTATAGAAGGCTTTAGTGGTAAGAGTTATGCTATTACGAATGCTGTTAACCAAAAATGCTGGAGGTAAATTCGCAGCGCACACACACGTACATACACAAGCGTCAAACTTTCTCTTCATTCATACATACATACATACATACATACATACATACATACATACATACATACATACATACATACATACATACATACATACATACATACATACATACATACATACATACATACATACATACATACATACATACATACATACATACATACATACATACATACATACATACATACACACCGCCATTCACTGACACATTGGTTGGTAAATTCTCTCCAGAGCCCTACAGTTTAGTGACCCGGAATCAGGTCCCAGGCCTTGCCTATAGACGCTTGGGCGGGTCCAAACCAAGATGATTTGGTCGGCGCGAGCTCTAAGTTGTGCAGGTCATCGGCCCTCCTGACCGAGAGAATAACATGCGCACACATACGCAAGGGCAATCACCTAATTAAATAATTAATTAATTAATAATTCACTTTTAGTACCGCGGTCATGTGCATGTTGAGCAACGTTTACCTATCAGTCACACACGTACTGATGTACTGGACTAGAAAACTATATAGGTCGAGCTTATCCTTCGGTGCCGCTCAGAAGAGGTGGCCGCTTCACACTGCTCACTCCTCTCTAGGACACGCCATCCGGCGTGTGCTGTAACCGCGATGCACTGACAGCCTTCTGGAAAGCGCGCTCATTTGTTTATTTATTCCTCATTCAGACGCTCCTGTTTTTCCCTAGGTACGAAGCCGTCAGTTTCGCCACTCTGGCGTCGCTAAGCCGGACTGGCGAAGGCCTGCGCCACAAACACGGTTACTGCATTTAGCCTCTTCCCCTTCACGTTTGAGCTTCTCTTTTCTCGCTTCTTCTTCTATCTTCTTAGCAATTTCTATCTCACGCATTCGTGCTCTCGCCGCTTCTCACCTTCAGTGTGCTTGTCTGTTTCTAAGCGCTTCGTGGTTTCCACTAAAGACGTTTTCTAAAAGCGGCATACGTCGCCCTTGTGTTCACTTGCTGTTTGGCCTCGTTATTCACGAGATGCCTGGGTTATTCGCTAGAACTCGAACAGCACCGTAGTATGCGCACAGCAAGGTTCTGGCCGCCTGGCTCTTGTTTTCCGAGCACATCTCTAGGGCTTGGACTCCTAGCTATACTGCGTACCGGGCACTTCGTTCTAAAGTGTCAATCATTCCTTGCTGAAGGTGGTGTCAATCAATGCTCAATAAAAACGGTTCACCGTGTGACGCCCATACTTCAGGACCGAGTGAGAAAGAGTGCCCGAGTTGCAGTGGAAAGTGGTTCTCTTTCACTTGGCGAGAGAGAGAGAATGGGAGATGGCCAACACGGAGGAGGTCGTGAGTGCCAGAGTTGGCTCGGTAAGCGTTGTCCTTACTGATCTCCCCTTTCCCGGCTAGCTTTTACTTCACTTGGTTCGCTGCATAAGGACAGGACGTTCTCAAATGCGCGGCGCCTGACTCGTGGCGTGGTAAGCATGCAAGCGGTAAAGCAACCGGCCGGTTGCCGGCATTTGGTAGACAGATTTCTCCCTTGTCTTAGCGTGTAACGCATAATCATCCAGACCCAAGTGAACTCCCTCCCCGTTTCTAGCCCGAACACAAAAGGGGACAGTACAGTGCCCGAGAGAAGACATCGCAGCAGAAGGCGACAAAAGCACTGTTGAAATTCCTACGCGACACGGACTTGAACAAGCGGCTGTAACAGCTACGTCACACACCACAAAAGACAAGACTGGACTATCACTGAGTGTGCTGCCTAATGTGCTGTGTTTATCTCTCTTCCCTCTCTCCTATGTCTTTCATCTCCCCCATCCCCCTCCCGTGCGCAAGGTAGCAAACCGGCTGCCTATAGGCTGGTTAACCTCTCTGCCGTTCTTTTCCTCCTATTTTCCTTCCTTCTCGCCCCCCCCCCCCCCTTCACCTGCAAGGTTCACGCCATCGGTCGACGCTCGCTTGTATAAGCAATACGCGAATCGATCTTTTTTGGGGCTGGAGAAGCTTGCCTGGAGGCTGATTCAGATTTACCTTGAGAGCAATGGCGCAAGACAGCCTTGTCGCATGGTTTGCCTGCATTGCTCGCGCGAGCGGTAGCCCGAATGCTCTCACGTGACTGGTGTCAGGATATTGATAACGCAGGCGCGGCTACAGCAGTGGTACTGTACTCTGGCGTCACCTTCGCCGCCAAGACGGCATCTTTATCTTTATTTGACCCCCGACTCGGAGGGAACGCAACAGCCCCATGAAGTAACACCAGAGCAACAGCTGTACCATTGTTTTTTTAATATGAAGCATTCTACATTTTTGTTATTATATATATCTTCAAAGGTTCCGTACGGAACTTGAGATGAAGGGTGAGTGGCATGAAGAAGGTGGTATCAAAATTAATGACTAAGATACAGCCGAGTCTGCTTTTTGGATGGCAGTCTTGAAGCGCGCAGAATCGCTGTAACTGCTACCTCTTCCGGAAGGCCATTCCAGCCTCGGGCGGTGCGCAAGAAGAACGACTGCTTAAATCACGTGGTGTGAGCACGCGGCGAAGTCACAGCGTTTGGATGAGTTGTGAGATGACCTCGATGGACTGGTTGGATGAGCTGGTTGTCACGTGTGGCCGAATGAAAGAATTCGTGGAAAAGACAGAGACGTTCGATACGACGACGAAGAGCGAGGGTAGAAAGTTTCAGCTGGATTTTTAGGACGGGAATGCTGGAGTAGCGGGAATGAATCAATGAATCTGGCTGCTTGGTTATCGACAGACCAAGTGAGGTGCAATTTCAGACGAAGTCGTAAAGTCGGCATTAAAAAAAGTTCTTTTTTTCGGAGTTGAAATTCGGTATTAAAATCTCGAGTTATGCAAAACAGAACAAAACGTAATAGAAAACTGTGAACAAGGTGACGTGTACACCGGAACAATAATTCAGCAAAATGTTGATAGTTCGTGCGCAAGCTTACGTCATTTACTCGCGTATAGCCGGCGCTAACTAATATTGGTCTCTTCTCTTTTTTTTGCTTTTTTCCAACCGTCAAAAAATAATAATACATGTTTCCCTGAAGAAAATTCAGTGCACATCTTCTTTTTGTCGTGTTTGTGCTTTTCTTTCGTTTTCTGCGACGAATTTTTGAGTGTTTGTTTCTTGATCCATGAAACGCAGTGCTCGCGAACTGGCCGTGCATGACAGGCGTGCTCTGTCCTTACTATTACACGATTATAAAACCACATCATACCTCGAGGAGGAGGAGTCAACTTCATTCAGCGAAGAAATACTTCATTTAATGCAGGCAGTTGTGGTCGGGCCCTCAGTACACTGCAGGGCTCTGCTGGCACGAGCGGCTCGCTGGGCCTGGTCAAGCAAAGCTCTGCTCGCATGGCCTCGCTTTCCTGAGTTAGTTTCAGCGCGCACTCATATAGGACACATCAAAGTGCGGGATTCCCGTTGGCCTATACAATGAGGTGTCACATTGGACACCGCGTCACTCATAAGAATATTGCATGAGAAAGCTCGCAGTTGTCGAGATGTGACAGAGAGAAAGGCAGAAGAAAGGCAGGGAAGTTAATCAGGTTGAACCCGGTTTGCTATTCTGCGCAGACGGATGGGAAAGGGGAAGAAAAAAATAAAGGATTGTAGAATGAAAGAGACGACTAACGCGTTCGAGTGCATAGCAGCGTTCACCGCACATATCCAGAAGCTTTCAAACTGCGAACTGTTACAGATTACGCTTCGACTTCGAGTGCCTTATATTCGTAGATTGCAGTACATGATGTTAATGAAGACTCGCAATGACTGGCTCCTAGGTGTCCGGGACTTTCAGCGCGGTCGTCTGATGCTGATGCGGTCGTCATACCGGTGAGGAATGCGTGTTGATTGATATGTGGGGTTCAACGTCCCAAAACCACTATATGATTATGAGAGACGCCGTAGTGGAGGGCTCCGGAAATTTAGACCACCTGGGGTTCTTTAACGTGCACCCAAATCTGAGCACACGGGCCTACAACATTTCCGCCTCCATCGGAAATGCAGCCGCCGCAGCCGGAATGTCGCGATATCGTATGCCGGCCGTGGTGGTCGCATTTCGATGAAGGCCCGTGTGCTTAGATTTGGGTGGTTGAAATTTCCGGACCCTCCACTACGGCGTATTTCGTAACCACATCGTGGTACGTGAAACCTCAGCAATTAATAATTTTGCTTGCGCTGTAGCTCGTATTAAAGCTAATACTCTTTTCCGATACGTGTGCTACTGTACGCCAGATAGCGGTGCCACGTGGGAACGCCGGCTTCGGTCACGCTCCGATGTGCAATAAGAAAACAAAAGAGGGAAAGGAGCATTCCGAGATAAGCAAAGCCATAACAATACCACGGCCCCTGGATGGAAGAGCGTACGGGTGCGCTTTCCCATCTAGCGGAGTGACAATACAGACATTAAAGCACTTGGCGAGAAGTTCACCAGCCGGGACAGTTCCCAATGCCGAGAATATAAGCATTCTTCCGTGACTGCTCCTCGCACCGTAAACATGTAGTCCACACGCTGCGCCTGTAACTCTCAGTTCATAAAATCTCCGAGGCGTTGTGGCAGATAAGCCGTCCTTTTCCTTATCTTGGCGGCTGATCTTTCGAGGGGGCACCTTGCAGCTGACGGCGCGAGGAGCGGCGTGATGGACTCGCCGCGGAGCTGGGCAGTGGCGGCGGCCTGCTGCTGGATCAACGTGTTCACTTTCGCCCTGGTCCGCTCGGCTGCCGTGGTGTACGTGGCGCTGCTGCGCACCTTTCCGGTCACCAGGGAACAGGCGTCCTGGCCCGTCAACCTGTCCGTCGTGTGCTACTTCCTCACAGGTGCGCGGTGTACTGTATCGTGTGGGCTTTGAAAGCAGCAGTAGACGTCGCGAAAAAAGAAAAGCGAACTGTAAGATGATGATGATTAACGTACCGTGGCGCCATCTGCCAATATCCAGAATTATTACCCGATATTTCTTTTTTTTAATGTTTTATTCGAATACGCAGAAAACACGAACAATATGAATTATGGAGGGATACAGGCTAACAACTACCACCCCAAGGGCTGCAATGGCTGCTTGCTACTTTTAGAAGGGGATTAACTGAGAAAATCTCTGGGTATATAGAGGCACCCAGCGGCACATCGTTTTGACAAGCGTAGACGTGATAAGGACAATTGACGGGATTCATACGATAAGTCTGCTTCTCGGTATCGCTGATGGATACACGCGAATTTATCTTGCCTCATATTGTAGTGCTGAAACGTATTGACGCAATAACACGCAATGACGCGACAGGCGCGTCTTGCAATGCGTCTTGCGTTTCTTCTTGGGTGAATTGTGTGAATTTAGGATGCGCGGTTTTTCGGCGGCGCGTATAGACGTTGTCTGTGGGCTGCAACTTTTCTAAGCCTGCAGGAAGGCACAACAGAATAGCTCGGCAAATGCCGACAATAGTTTGGTAAGGCTGTACGAACAGGTCCTCTTAGTGCACATGACATAAACTGCTGCAAGTTATAAAGTTTATGCGTTCGATTACCGGCATGTGCGAGAAATAAAGACGTCCTCACCATTTCTATCAATGTTCGCTACGTGCGTAGAAACGAAAGATGGGGGACATGCGTAATAGAAGAAATTTCAGGCGCAGATCTCATTCCGGCCGCTCGATGCGCGTTGAGGTCACGGCTCAGGACAGACAGCTACGGTCTTTATGTCATCGCTATGTTGACGACACTCACATATCTGCCCGTTCTCTGGGTCACGTCGCTTCCTGTTGTTCACGCAAACCGTCGCGGTCTTCGAGGTTCTGCATCGCAGGGCTCCGCCGTCACGAAAGCATCGAACCCTTTAATGTAGCATCGCAACGTACCTCGAGTGGTTCCTATAGTAAATGATGCGCCAGATACTTCATGGCTGCAGAACAGTATTCTATCAGGATGTAAGAAAGTAGGCGTGCAGTCACGTGAACACAAGAGGAGGAATCAAGACGTCACAAGCGCTGCAAAAGGCGCACTATTCCGCTGCACGAGACGGAAAAAGTATGCACAAACCTTGTCCGCACATACGCAGACATGCGACGCTACCTGTCAATCCGGTGTGCATGAGTGTACTAAGGTTCTATTCTTGGTACTGTCAGATTACGCCATCTTATCAAATTACGTCATTCGTCAACTATCATTGGCCTGTTGCGGCTTAAGATGCCGCTTTTTGTGATAGCAGCTTAGAATGCCGCAATTACAAAATTTCACAAGATGGCGGAATCGCACAAGTAGGTGGTGCTGCATGCCTACGCATGAGCAGATAAGATTTTTTTTTTGTGTCTTCGTTCTCTGCCTTATAGTGCATCTTTTCAGTTTACGTTTGTGGCGCCTTGATCTCTTCTTTTGCGTCCGTGTTTCCTTCTATGATGAATCCGCACCCACTAGATCAACTTGCTGACGTCATCACAGTATCGAATTCGCGAAGGCATTGCTAGTCTCTTATTCAGCGATGCTCTCCGGCAACAGACGTTGCGCGTGCAAACACCCTGGCATTAGGATTTCAACGTCACACGAGCCTTTTATGTAACTTTAGCGAGACTGCACAGAGCGCTAACGATGCCGTGCCGCATTGCAGCGCTGGAAAATGGATTCTTGAATGCAAAACGGGTGCCGAAGTCTCGTTTTCAGGAAGTTTCACCTTACGGTTACCCTGTCTCGAGCTCGTAAAATGGACATCTGTTTACCCTTAAGAAAAGAAAATAAGCCTGAAACATTATGACAATCTGACTTGTTACTGGCGCAAGGCCTTATCAAACTTACAGTACAAGCATGCATGGTATATATCACATTAAACAATAATGCGTCGTCACTTATCGTTACGAAAGTTTGTTCGATTTCGCATTCGAAGAAGAGAACTTGACGACAGCTTTTTTTATAATTTATGAATTTATTTGTTTCATTGAGGCTTCATGCGTCTCTAGACGCACCGCGCATCTAGGGATCACCCGTGAGACTTTTTAAAATACAGAACAGCTTACAAAGGCGACGGCTGCACTTCTGACGTGATATTGAGCAGTTAGAAAGGTGTTGTAGTGTAACGAGAATCGACGTTGCGTGATCGAAAAATCTGTAGAATATTGAACTCAGTAGAAAGGTAAATTTAAATTCGTGTGAAGTCCTAGACAAACACCACAAAAATCATAGGAATGTATGTGCAGGGTTCCACATCAGAGGAGGGGGTGAAATTTCGTCGTTGCGCCCCCCATCTTAATAAATAAATTTATGGCGCGGATATTGCCTGCCCCCCCCCCCCCACCCCACCCACTCCTTTTCGTGCGCATGTTTATGATGAAGAAGACGGCAGAACTTGCACTTTGCGCCTCCTTGAGTGCTGTGGTGATCCCACCGCTGATCACCAGTTGTTGTGATCCCGGGGTGCTGTGGTAGCGTGGTGTAGCTTCGGGTTGAGGAAACGACCGCTTACAAGATGGGGATACGAAAAACAAACAAGGTTTATGGCACTATTTACAAATATTTACAGCATGAGGTTAAGAGTTCACAAACCACGAGCGTGGTGGTTAAACCTTTCTTGGTTCAGAGCCATCACAAACTACGAACGTGGTGGTTGAACCTTTACTGGGTTCAGAGCGACGTCCTGCACTCTGCGGCGCCGTTATAAGCCCTGTCGGGCTCCTCCTTCTTCAGTGGAACACCAATCACATACACACACAACAGGTGAGGGGTACGAGCATGCACGGCGCACGTGAACAGCCAATTTCGAGTCAAGATCACTGCACTTAAAGGTGGCGCCAGAGAGTCTCTTGCTCGTCGTGTATGTCGCTGGTCGAGGGGTTCCAAGCTTCGGACAGCAGACATCAAACGGTCCGCCAATCTGTCCGCTCAATTAGCAGGGCACTTTGTGGCGGCGGTCGCCGTTTCTACAAAGGAAGACGCTGTCTTTGTTGTCCCCTCTGGAACGGCTTACCGCTTCGTGGCGACGTGACGTCTCATCCGCCGGCTAGCAGGGACAATGCCTGGCGGGCATAGGCATTCGGCGAGCCGGCTACTTGTTTGAAGATTAAAAGAGCGCCGCTCCCCCGTCAGCTCTTGACGCTGGTTCCAAGAAAACCTGGGTTCCAGGCGTGGGAACGTGGCCCGGCTACGCTTCTCAGCGACAGCATGGCGCCTACCGATGGCGGTCATAACAGCTTCCCCCTCGCCAGATGAGTCACGGAGGGCAGCGGTCAACACTGCTGCTCGCAGGGACGACGAAAAGGTCAGTAGTTGAATACCAGGAACTGGCCTTCGCTTGTGGCATGGTCCGGGTGATTGCCGAATCTTCGACAGCATCTCTGATACTCGACCACCTGTACAAGCAAGCACTCGGCCCCCTTCGAACAAACCAAGCCAAAAGAGGGATGACAAACCAATTTTTCATTGCTAGCTTTAATAAAAAGCTCGCACTCAAAACTCTCAGGACTCACTTGCGCTGAGAAACCAAACGTGCTACCTTACAAATTTACATAAGATGCACGAAAAAAACTAAAATATCAATTTTGATACATAAAGAGCACCCCAGAATGGCTTAGAAAGAGCGGCTGAGCGCGTCAGCGTTTCCATTCAATTTGCCTTTTTTTTTTACTTAATGTCAAAATGATATTTTTTTTCCCTTTAAGAATCAAGCTCCGCCTCACAAGGCGACTGTTCTTCGAGGTCATGGTTTGCAGCCAAGGGGACAATGGTCTGTATCTACTTTAAATTTAGCACCTCCGAGACAACTGCAACTGATCAATAACCTACACAAGGCAAGCGCATTCGTTTCCTGAAGCGCAGTACGTTATCTCACGGGAGTCCAAATTCTGGCTCAAGTAGAACGCATCGTACTCGTTGCCACTGTCGTCGAGACATATAACGGCAGCCTCCTTCTTTTTGTCGCTGACTACTTACACGGCTCTGTCCCGCTGAGAGCATCGGTTCGGTTCCGGACTCAGCGAGCGCTAAGATTGTCCTAAAGTCCGTTTTTGTTTACGTGTACCAATAATTGTCTACTACTGATACAGTAAGCTATCTAGCTTTCCTAAAACTTTTGCCTAAGTTGTGGACAAAAATACTGTTCGTTCACTCAACCTGAGAAAACGTTTACCGTTCCGCTCACTTGATCAATTGTCTTCAAAGAAAACCAACAAAACAGTGACAAACACTTCCTTCTAGAAGGTTGGTTTGGTTGAAGCAAACTGCCTTTGCTAATGCCTCTGAGTAAATCTCACTGGGCTCTCCTGAGCCTTCAATTACTCTCATTTCTAAGTATTGCAAAATACATGGCGCTATTAACCAAACGCTTAATCCCTCACACTTTGTCTTTCTTACGTTACGTTGTAACACACCGTGTACAACGCAAAAATAACCATAGATAAAAACACCTGAAAAGCACCTCACAACAATCGCGAAGGTTTTTTATAAAACCGTGTGCCAATGACCTTCAATTCTTAATGCGCGCAACGACACCTCCACTGTGTCGCGCCAAACTTAATCAATTTTACGAAATCATTCGGTTTATGTTAATATCTTCTTCCTTAAGTGCTCATTCACACCACATCCCCATGGCAGTGAAGGCATACGATGTCACACTAAACCTTTGAAAAAAACTAGAAAATTGACACATTTTCTCTGTTTTTACCTTACGCAAATTTTCGCATTATGATTAAATTAATTCGATGCTGACTTTCAGCCTTTGGCTCGGCGGTTTTCCTTCTGAAAATTTTCCACCGCATCACGTAACTTACATAATTTAAAAGACTTGAATACGCATCTTGACGTACCACTGAGTAACTATATTTGACACGCCCGTGCAAAAGTTACTCGAACTGACCGTTCCCCCTTTTCTCGTGGTTCCTTTAATCGTACACGATGGGGTCGCGGTCCCGGCGGTTTTCCTGCACGTCTGAGGCTACTAAACAAACGAACGTTAGGCTGTGTCCTGCTGTCACACCTCATTTTCCACTTCGGCCTGTTCCCCTCAAGAATTGGAAAGGGACGCCAGAAACAGGGTGGAGACAGGGGACATTGTCTCTTTGTGCTCGCCCCGACGCGGTTTTTAGCCACTCTGTGCTTTCGACTTTGATCCTTCAGACAAGGCCGCTTTCCCGAAGTTGTCGAACGCAACCGCGCTTTTCGTTGGGGTAACGCACCTCGTTTCCCCCCTCTACACCTGGCTTGCCGCTTGTACCTCTCGGAACGCCACCATGGACGTTTTCTGGAACGGATTAACGGCCTACCCTCTCGTCTTTCTTGCGACTGAGTAGGGCCCGACCTAGGCTTGTGCAGTGACGAACGCCTCCGCTTCTTCCTTTTTCTGCGATGTTTGCAAACCAGCTCGGTATTATCGCTGCACTGCTGAAGCGTGGCGCTCTTGCTCTCATCAGCCACTGCGCTAACCATGCCTAAATTTGACAATGCCGAAAGGTCCCCCTGAGGCACGAAGAAGGTTTCCAGCCTCTTACTGGGCCTATTAGGGCTGCTGGCACCCTCTTCATCCACGCAAGGAGCGTCTTTCGACATCGTCCCCACCTCGAGACTGGCCAAGGGCTTGTTCTCGACATGCTCTAGATTGACGCCTTCGAGAATTCGCGGGCCCTTTTCTGGCGCAATCTGTTCCGTTCGCGCTTTATGAGGCGCCTCAACTTCCGGCGCTTTGCGATGCGCCTCGCTTTCAGACTCCGGTGCGAGTCTTTCTTTCTTTTTGCTAATAGAAGTTCCGAATCTTCTGATCAGCTCTGCTTTGATAACTTCATAGTTGTTCGCGTGCTGCTCACTGAGTCGCGCAACAACATCCGCTGCCTCGCAGGGCAGAACCGTGCGTAGCTTCTGAGACCAGGTGTCTCGCTCACACTTCAGTTGCCTACACTTTCGTTCAAACAGTCTTAGATACAGGCCCATATCCCATGATACCTCATATGGCTGCATGTACCTAGACATCTCGAACTCTGCCTCATTTTCGAGAAGTACTCCTCGCTGGGGTCCCATTCTCAAACGCAACTCATAGTCTTGTGTGAAAAACTTTCTCTTGAGGCCTTCTCTTTCGTGTTCACTCTTTCCTTCCATCTGAGCTGCTCTTAGTTTTCTTTCGATGATGAGGTCCCATTCTTCACTTAGTTCCTCATCATCAGCCCCCAAATCATTAATCGCTTGAATGATTATGGGTTTTCGTGCCAAACCCTTTGTATCGATCCCCAATTCCTCACACAACAGCAACAAGTCTGACTTCTGCAGCTCCCGTAAGTCCATGATCGTACTGAGTGCTCGCTACTTCCAAAAATAACTTCCCGAAACGGCGAAACTGAGTCTTTCGGCAAAGTTAACTACCAGTTCTAAAATTTACCCTCTTTTAGAACCTGGTTCACTCAAAGGAAAAGCCAAGCACTCACCCATACGTGATCCATGTCTCGAGCCAACTGCTTCTCCTGGGCCGACTGTTGTTGTTCCTTGTAGCTTCGAATCCCCCCGATGCCAACCAGTTGTTGTGAATCGGGGTGCTGATTCGTATCCCACCTCTGCCAACCAGTTGTCGTGATCCCACCGCTGCAACCAGTTGTTGTGATCCCGGGGTGCTGTGGTAGCGTGGTGTAGCTTCGGGTTGAGGAAACGACCGCTTACAAGATGGGGATACGAAAAACAAACAAGGTTTATGGCACTATTTACAAATATTTACAGCATGAGGTTAAGAGTTCACAAACCACGAGCGTGGTGGTTAAACCTTTCTTGGTTCAGAGCCATCACAAACTACGAACGTGGTGGTTGAACCTTTACTGGGTTCAGAGCGACGTCCTGCACTCTGCGGCGCCGTTATAAGCCCTGTCGGGCTCCTCCTTCTTCAGTGGAACACCAATCACATACACACACAACAGGTGAGGGGTACGAGCATGCACGGCGCACGTGAACAGCCAATTTCGAGTCAAGATCACTGCACTTAAAGGTGGCGCCAGAGAGTCTCTTGCTCGTCGTGTATGTCGCTGGTCGAGGGTTCCAAGCTTCGGACAGCAGACATCAAACGGTCCGCCAATCTGTCCGCTCAATTAGCAGGGCACTTTGTGGCGGCGGTCGCCGTTTCTACAAAGGAAGACGCTGTCTTTGTTGTCCCCTCTGGAACGGCTTACCGCTTCGTGGCGACGTGACGTCTCATCCGCCGGCTAGCAGGGACAATGCCTGGCGGGCATAGGCATTCGGCGAGCCGGCTACTTGTTTGAAGATTAAAAGAGCGCCGCTCCCCCGTCAGCTCTTGACGCTGGTTCCAAGAAAACCTGGGTTCCAGGCGTGGGAACGTGGCCCGGCTACGCTTCTCAGCGACAGCATGGCGCCTACCGATGGCGGTCATAACAGTGCCAACGTATACACGAGAATTAAATGACAAACACGAAACCGCGAATCAGCTTGAAATTATCAGGTACATAACTTAGGTAGATACATATGTATGAATATAATGCACGCATATAGATAGACGTGACTTCGAAAAGCGCGTGAAGTGTGTCGACCGTACACTGCACGCTATTGTCACGACAATATCACAAGGTATGGGCACGTCCTTGGCATTGCTGGGGGACGTATGATTTCTTTGGGAATGTATACCTGTTCTCCTCATCGTTTCGTTGGGACAGGTCCTATCGCGGGAGTGCTCGCGAGGTACATCCCCATATGGAAGCTGACGGTGCTGGGATGCCTCGGCGGATCGCTGGCCGTGTGCGTCTGCTACTTCGCACAGTCGATGCTCTTTCTGGACGTCTTTCTCGGCGTCACGCACGGTGAGCAGCCTTCTTTCTTCGGCCGTTAAATCGGCCTACCCCTCACCCCTCTTACCCCACCGAAATATCTCACTTGTCGTGAGATATTTCCCCCCTATATATATATATCCTGTGCCGCCATGATATCGGCGCTTATCAAGTGCACGAAAGAAATAGACATGTAAAAACGATGCAGTTATATGTACGTATACAGATGTCATCGAGAATACCAATTTGTTGGAGAGTCAGCGCGGTGAAGTACTGCAGCTTGTCTTGATCTGTTCATGTCCAAAATCGCAGTGGAAGCTGCTAATGTTACAACATAGCGTTCGTTGACATCACGTGAACTTTCCCTATACACAGGGCTCTTATGAAAGCAAACAGCCCGAATAAATTTGTGCCACCGCACTCATTTGCTCTTCTTGTTGTCTGAAATGCAGGAACTTGCATCGGCCTGCTTGCTCTGTTCAGCGTCGTGATAAACCAGCACTTTCACAAGTACCGTGCCATGGCGTCCGGCATCAGCAATGCTGGCTTCACCATCGGCGGTCTCATCTTCCCTCCGGTCATCCAGTTGCTTGCGGACCACTACGGCATTCGCGGCGCTCTCCTACTCGTCGGCGCCCTCATGCTCAACTCGGTCGCCGGGGCTTTTCTACAGCGCAACCCGCCGAAAACGCAACCGGAAACACCTTCGCCACTCAAGCGTGGTAAAGCCGAAAACACCGGTGGCATGGTTCAGGACCCGGAAGAAGGAGACGCCATGATAAAAATATCAGAGAAATCTGGAGATGCCAGCTTTCGGAGAAGCGTCTCAGCGTTTGACGATGGTGAGTGTTCCGATATAAAACACGGAACTCAAGAAGCTGGCGAAGGTGACGCAGTTTATCTCCAAGTGAAGAGTTCAGCGGAGAAGGACCAGGACGTAAACAGTGATGAAGAAGGCGACGAGAATGCCAAGTTGCGAGCGCTGGATGCCCAAGGTCACGGTCATCCAAAAGTTGTTCGGAACCATACGCCAGTAGTCAAAGTGAAGAGATCGAGTCGCGAGAGGAGACCACTACTATCATTCCTACTGTTTCCGGCATTCTATCTCATCTCGTTTTCGTTGGCCATAATACTCTTTAACATGAGCACATACATGACCGTTATTGTCGACTTTGCTGTGGACCGTGGCGTGTCCAAGTGGAATGCCGTGTACCTGATATTCGCCTACGCCGTGGCTGACCTTCTGGCCAGACTGGGCTCCGGTTGGATTACGGATCGAAAGTACCTGCTCAAGAGTACCATGATGGGCTCTCACTTTGTGATGTGGGGTGCGTCGCTCTACATGATGCCGCTGTGCAGCCAGTACTACTGTCAGGTTGCCCTGTCCGTACTGTCGGGCTGGTGCAACGGCTCGACGCTAATACTCATTGGGGTGCTCTTCATGGAATTGGTGGGCATCGACAAGCTCGGAGTCTGCTTCGGCGTCGCGACGACGTTCGCTGGACTCTTGGGCCTCTCGAGGCCATCGCTTATAGGTGAGTGAAATCAGCTCGCAGAACTTGAATCTTATGTGCTGACGACGTACGGTAGATGAAAATATCGAAAGTAAACCAAGTTAACGCCCTCTAGATATTGGAAGGCGCGCGCATTTGGAGCATGATTCGGAGCATTTGGAGCTGTGATGTCACTCTAGAAGACTAGCTCGGAGGTCATTGAAAATAATTCTCTGAAGTAAACATTGATGGGTAGCTAAATAAGCCATTGGACTGAAATTGAATAAAGACAATGCTGATGTTATAACAATAGATATAGTTACTCAGAAGTAGGCAACAATAGACATTATCCACACAACACTAACCAATGCAGATTATGATGGGTTTTCCTGCAAGCACATCAGTTGCATTGGGTCAGCAATTGTCGACGCTGTCACACAGTTACAGGGAATGAATTGAGTGAAAGAGGCCGAAGACAATCATGTTTAGGTAAAAAAAAAATTGGACAATATGATCCACCCGACTCTCGGCCGATCCCCCTGAGTGGGTAAGTGCCAATCATGCCAGGAACATTATAATCATTATGAAAAGGAAGGTATCGTATACGCATACGCCAGCCCATAGAACTACATTGATACGGGCACTCTGCGGTGCGTCTTCAATACCACGGACGTGAGCAGGGAAGTGTGAAAGCCACAGCAGCACTAGCCGTCTACCCAAGCTACACTACCACAACCCCCTACCCCAACCATTATGGAACACGTTTTTTTTTTTTTTTTTGCGCTTCCCAAGACGGAATCTTGCCACTGCCCATGGTTAAGAAAGAAAGCACAGTGTCCCTGTATTACGTAAAGTATAGTACACGAGCACATATGTCACGACTCACAACCATGCGATTTATTGATGTCCATTGAACACTTAAACTTGACGTGATAGACACCTGCTTTTTTAGTTTAGTGTTGAACTTGTTGCTTGATTCTAAACACAAAGCCCTAGCAGTAGATAATGGGCAAGCGCAGAGATAGAAACAACACATCACTCTTTATCACCCGGCGAGATCTTTATTGCGGAAAAACATAACTTGAAGTGAGATTTACACCATGCGATCTTGAATTTCGAGTTTAACAATGTCAGTCATTTGGAATGATATTCGAATTGGGTTTAAAAGATAGTCTTGCTTTTGAATAAAATACGGTTTATCTGAACCTAACGGGACAATTCTTGTATTTTAATTGCTGAATTGTACGTGTCGCATTCATTTCACGTCCCTAAATTTTGCGCATTCGATGGCAAACACTCGGCTAATTCTTCGTAGTGAATATCGCATGGTGAATGGGGACACCAGCAAAATGCGATGTCACCGAACGCTAATGCCCCTGTTTGCCATGCTAAGAACATAAACGAAGCCAGACTTTCAACAGCACTCATCCTGTCTCTGCAGGTTTCTACAGAGACGCCCACGGCGACTACGAAGGTCTTTTCGGCCTCATCGGTGGCGTGACGTGGGGAATGTCCCTACTGTGGCTGTGCTATTACGGGAACGAACGGTGCGCATCACGTAAAAAGCAAGAGCGCACGTCGCGGACGAGGTCAAAGATGGCGGCCATCTTCACGCCGGAAGGAAAGAGCTGAGGACGACTGTGATTCGTCTTCTTCATTCTTTTCTCTCCCTCACTCACGTTTACCCGTGAAAAAACGGTGCATCATCTTCGACCACCGCGGTGTCCTTGCGACGTACTTGCCGCGCTAACATTCTCATTCGCTTTGTCGGCTTAGAGCGCGTAGTGGCGGCACTAAATGTACATATGAACGAGCCGAAGCAGCATGAAACATAAGAAGGAAAATATAATCTGGAGGGCAGGTAAGTTAACCAGGACTGAAGCTGGTTGTTTGTTGTGCACGGTGGGAAAGCGGGGGAAAAAAGGGGAGGGGGGATATATGGGACAATGAGTTCGAGTACGAAGTTGGGCAAGTTGAATTGACGTACATTCCGTAATAGTTTAACTGCTATCATTCCAGCGAGGACACAGAAAGTGGATGACAGCACTGCGCACGTACTGTAGTCCACTTTCTCTGTGTAATTGTTTTGAATTAGCGTAAACCATTGCGGAATGAAGAGTACGACTACACTGAAGATCTCGACGTAATGAAAGTTCTGAGCACTGTCACTAACGATCGCTCAGGAATTCCCTAACTTTACCCCAATTCTGAAAATCGCATTGCTTCGTTACGACTGCGCTAGTGGAGTAGTCGCACCGAAGTAATGGATTACCAACTTGCCCGGAATGCCGCTCTCACGGAAATCAGAGCAACGCTTTTGCGACCTTTTACCAACTAGCCCTTACCAACTAGCCCACCTTTCAATAATATTGCTTTTGTGACCTCCTAGGGAGGGGGGGGGGGGCAATTTAGGGAGTGCTGACACCCAGGAGCGTCAACTCTCCCGCTCTCGGGCTCAGAGGGAGTGCTGCAAAATAAAAAAAGCGCCGCAGTATGAAAATATATGTGCTTCCAAGGGCTTCGGCTCTTAAGAGCCGGGTAGCATGCCTGCTAACACGCCAAAAAATAGTGCTAAAGCTTACTGGAAATGTTCTCATTCGTGTTGTTGAAATAAATGTTGCTATTTTTATTATAAGACTCGAACAGCTGCTGAAAACCGTTGGTAAGATATAATTATTGTTCACTTTGCAAGAATGCCTCCCTTTCCATTTTCTCGGAAAGCACCACCTTTTCATCACCTTCCGTTTCCATGGTAAGCGGGGGTCAGTGTACGGCAGTGAACGCACTGCATCCAAGAAACAAATACTCGTAATGTGGCACCGAAATGTACTGTCAACCGTCGAAATGATTCTCCCACGAACGATGCGAACGACCCAAACCAAAGTCAGCCACAAGCGTACTATTTCCGGAGCAACACGAAACAGTATTTTGAAGTGGTAAAAACGTGAACTTGTTGGCATGGCTCCATCGTAAACAACAGAGCGGGTACACAGAAGCAGAAAGACATCAGGACTTCGCGCTGTTATTTTTTTTTGCCCTTCTTGCTCCGTGAAACAGTGTAAGCGGGCAACTTTGGGGAAGAAATATGTACTGCTACGTCAGAGGGCTCGTTCAGGCGGGGGATTTGAAGGGCGATAACGCCGTGCGGAATACTAAAGGCGATTTTATTAATTAGATAAAAAAAGATATTCTTGGGCACGAAAGTAGCACCACGAGTTTTCTGGACCGCTATTTAAAACGTCGACTTGATGATGATATTCTTTTTGTTTTCACTTACCGAAAAATTGTGCAGAACTAATTGCGAACAATGCTTGCGAGGTTTTGTTCACATAAGAAAAAACAATCCAAACAAATCTGGAAATATTATATATATATATATTGCTGCGACAGGTTCGCCACATTCAAGTAGCCCGCCACAATCATCGTGGCACCAGCACCAGCAAGACCCGGCTCGGCTGGCATGCGCCACGCGTTCGGACGTTCCAACAACGAGGAAGAAGAAGATAGTCGGATCTGTGCCACTCGGCTACTCGAACTTGACGACCATAGTTTTTAGAATCGTGGGCACAAGTTCGCCCTAATAAAGACGCTTGTTTTTTTAACCTGTCGGCGTCAGCATCGCTACATTTCTGGTGGAGGTGCTGGGTTATGAACCGAAGCCCCGCGAGCTCAAGACAGCGTAGCCCCGACGACCAGCGTATCAACCCCGTGGAAGTGACTCCTGTACACCAGAGGGCAAGTCGCCGTCTTCGAGGTGACTCACCTGAGTTCGGTCCTCTTCACTTCACACCAAGGGGAATTCAAACGATGGATGCCACCACTATGACTAGCCAGGTAACACCGGCACAAGTGTTCATTAGCCAACCGCACCAGCCACCAGTTTTCCACGGCGACTCGTACGAGGATGTTGAAGATTGGTTGGACCTGTTCGAGAGAGTAGCGAGCTTGAATGGATGGGACGAAAGAGAGAAGCTCCGTCGCGTATACTTCGCCCTGGAAGACTTCGCGAAGACATGGTTTGAGAACCATGAAACCTCGTTGTCTACCTGGGAGGTATTTCGACGACAAGCAGTGGCTACGTTCGCGAACATAGACCGGAAAGAAAAAGCGGAGGCAGCTCTTCAATCGAGGAACCAGCTAACGAACGAGAGTGCTGCTATGTACATTGAGGACATGGTCCGCCTGTTCGAGCGTGCGGATTACAACATGGCTGAGGATAAGAAGGTGCGCCATCTAATGCGCGGAGTGAAGCAAGAGCTGTTCGCCGTTCTCGTCCGCAACCCTCCGAGCACGGTTGCTGAGTTTTACTCGGAAGCGACGGCCATCGAAAAAACACTGGAACAGCGGGCTCGGCAGTACAACCGGAATCTTAACTGCGCATCTGCACAGGTATTCCCCGGAGGCGTGCGAAACGACGTTGAAGCCCTGCGAGAGCTAATTAGATCAGTTATCAGAGAAGAACTGAGCAGACTGCATATGCCCCAGACTTCAACTGCACTATCTGTTACGGACGTTGTTCGTGACGAACTGAGGCAGGTGATACGAGAGCCAGAGCGTGAGCTGCAGCCGGTTCGACCTATCCGAACATACTCTGAGGTTGTCAGACAACCCACGGTACACAGCAATGCAGCAGTTGCGATGGCGACGACTCCTCTCCCACCTGCGGCACGCAGCGCACCTCGTCCACGGGAACCGACAGCTACCTATCTGCCCCCAGGAGCACGTAGCACACATCACTATGTGGAGCGTAGGCCCAGGAAAAGTGACGTCTGGCGTGATCACGAGCGCAGGCCTCTGTGTTTTCATTGTGGGAAGCGGGTCATCTGTACAGATTCTGTCCTTACCGACAGGCTGGATTAAGAGGCTTCCCGTCATATGCACCGTGCCCCCGAAACGGCGAACGACCAGTGGAGATTGAGGAGTACTTGTCGACGCGCCAGAACTCGCCAACTCTACGCCAACACCGGTCACGGTCACCATCGCCTATGCGCTACCGGTCATCCAGCCCACGTACACCTTCAAGGCAGCCTGGTCATCGCTCTCCAAGTCCACACCCGGAAAACTGAAGCAAGCGACCTGTGGAGGTGAGGCCGCTGATAACGTCAGTTACGAAGATCCTCCAGTTTGGTTTGAGAGTGATGACGGTGTATTTCCGGTAGATGGGTGCAGCAACGAAAACGTTACTTCAGATTTGCGGTTGAGAATGGAAGGATGGGAGCTGAATGCCTTAGTCGACACCGGTGCTGATTATTCAGTGATAAGTCACAAGATGGTGAAAAAGCTAAACAAAGTTGTGACACAGTGGAGTGGATCGCAGATACGCACGGCAGGCGGTCACATTATTACGCCCTTTGGTAGATGCACTGCAAGACTTGAAATACGGGGCTTTATTTACGTGGCCGATTTCATTGTGCTGCCAGAATGTTCAAGAGAACTCATTATAGGAATGGATTTTTTGCGAGCTAATGGCGCCGTAATTAACCTGCGTAGGTCCAGCGTGTCGTTTTCGACTGAACGAGCTACACCTGTGGAGGAATCTGAGGAACGACGCCTAACTGCTCTACGCGTTGTTCATGATGACGTAACTGTGCCGCCACGCTGCAGTATAATGGTGCTCGTAGAAAATGATGCATTGTACAACCGCGAAGGCATAGCGGATACAAATGTAGGACTGTTTTTGAACAAAGGTGTCTGCGTAGCTAGGGGTCTTGTTCACTTGACGAATGGCCGTGCAGATGTCCTACTCACAAATTTCTCCAATGAGCTTCAACACATCGTTCAAGGCACGGCTATCGCCTATTTACACGACTTCTGTATGGCGACTGAACTATGCAGCTTAACGACATCAACCACTCGGCCAGTGGCCTGCAACATCGACACATCCGTGACCGTCAATCAGAGCCTTCCGGACAGTCAGAAGAAACAGATTTACGCCTTGGTAAAAGAATTCTCTGATTGCTTTTCAAGTACCTCGAAGGTCCAGCGCACGTCAATCACGAAACACAGAATTATAACGCAAGACGACACGAGGCCTATATGCCAGCATCCATATCGGGTGTCACAGAAAGAACGGGGAATTATCAAGAAGCAAGTGGAGAAGATGCTTTCTGATGATGTCATCCAGCCTTCGAATAGTCCATGGGCGTCTCCCGTAGTGCTCGTTAAGAAGAAAGACAACACACTTAGATTCTGCGTCGACTACAGAAAACTGAACAGTGTAACTAAACGAGATGTCTACCCCTTGCTACGTATCGACGATACACTAGATCGGTTGCGATCCGCAAAGTTTTTCTCCTCCTTAGATCTGAAAAGCGGATATTGGCAAATAGAGGTCGACGAGCGGGACCGTGAAAAAACGGCATTCGTAACACCAGATGGCCTCTACGAATTCAAAGCGCTTCCATTCGGCCTCTGTTCCGCACCAGCGACGTTCCAGCGAATGATGGACACTGTCCTCGCCGGATTGAAATGGCAGTCATGCCTAGTGTATTTGGATGACGTAGTGATATTCTCTGCAACGTTCGACAAACATCTAGAGCGACTACGCACAGTATTGGAAGCCATCCGGTCAGCGAAATTGACAATCAAACCCGAAAAATGCCACTTCGGCTTCGAAGAGCTGCGATTCCTTGGACATGTCATTAGTTCCGATGGTGTTCGTCCCGATCCCGAAAAGACAGCCGCTGTTCAGAGGTTCCCTACACCCAGAGACAAAAAGTCAGTGCGTCGATTTTTGGGTTTATGTGCCTACTATAGGCGATTTGTTGAAAATTTCTCAAAGATTGCGGATCCTGTTACGAAACTGATGAAAGACGACGTGCCCTTCACGTGGGAAAGCGAACAACAGAAAGCTTTTGACGAATTAAGGAAACGACTACAGGGTTCACCAATACTTGCCCATTTTGATGAGACAGCCGACACTGAAGTCCATACCGATGCCAGCAATGTCGGCCTCGGCGCCATCCTTGTCCAGTGGCAAAATGGTCAAGAGAAAGTGTTAGCCTATGCCAGCCGCAAACTATCAAAAGCTGAGGCAAACTACTCTGCAACTGAAAAAGAGTGCTTCGCAGTCATCTGGGCCATAAACAAGTTTCGACCCTACCTTTATGGTAGACCGTTCAGAGCTGTCAGTGACCACCATGCTCTATGCTGGCTGGCAAATCTCAAGGACCTGTCAGGTCGACTAGCAAGATGGAGCCTTAGGCTGCAGGAGTATGATATTACGGTCGTGTACAAATCTGGAAGGAAACACAGCGATGCCGACTGCCTGTCACGCTCTCCCGTCGATCCAAGTGTACCTGAAGAGGAAGACTTCCCGTTTCTAGGCGTTGTCGACACATCCAAAATCGCTCAACTACAACGAGATGACCCGGATTTGCTGGCACTTATACAACACCTGCAGGGTCTCGACGTTCAAGTCCCTCGCATATTCTCCAGAGGGCTCTCCGCGTTCTGCCTTCGAGGAAGTGTCCTTTACAGGAGGAACTTCGAACCTAATGGTGAAACGTTTTTACTAGTCGTGCCCACAGCCATGCGAGAGGAAATTCTGCACGCATGCCACGACGAGCCAACATCTGGACACATGGGTGTGAGCCGAACATTCGCCAGGATTCGCCTGAAATACTATTGGCCTAAGTT